GTTCTAGGGCTCGACTCCTGTTCCGGCTGAACTGAGCCAGTGTGTAAAATGAGAACTGATATCAGCTCAGTAGGCACCGGAGGGCGGGTCCAATTGACAGCCCGGAGAAGCAGTGCCTCAGCTGGGAGCTTGCTCGGCCTCGTCCCGTGGGCAGCTGCAGAAGACACAGAAACCTGGACTGCAAATACAAGAGAGAGTTCACCGTGCTCGGAAATCACAACAGGGAGTCTCCTTTGAAAGTACCCAGCTCTACTCACACGCCATCGACTGCTGGTGTGGTCTTACTCGACTTTCGTGATTCACTGGGTTTTAGATTTTTAAAAGAATAATTTTGCAGCTTTCAATACATTTGAACTTTCAGACACCGATGTCTAATTAGCGGATTTATATTTCCGTAGACTTTTGGTATGTTCCTTGCATTCGTAACAAGACAAAGTGCATCATCGTTGGGGCCAGGCAGGCTCTCATCCTCCAGAATCGTGCTCGGTCCCCGAGCTGACCGCTCAGCAGCGGCCTCTGCCCCGGCAGCTCCAACTTAACTGTCCCCATCTCACCTTCTCTTCAGGTGCAGAACTTAGCCACTGTGAACAAAGCGGAAACCAGTCACTGTTCACCAATCAGCTAAGCTCTGCACCTCGTCAGAGAGGTCGTCGGCTGGGCATAATGAAAGGGCTGGAGAGCATCTTCCAAGGCTGTTGGCTTCTTCTGTTTCCAGAGAGGAGCTATGAGATGTATCTGTTCCCCGAACTGCAGAGAGAGAGTAACTATGGCTTCTGGAGGAGCAGTCAGGGTCGTGGTTGCGTGGTAATCCCTGGCAATGTGATTTTAATCTTAAGTCACAAATCAGCATGCCAGGAACCCAAGCAGCCAGAGCACTTGGGGGCGGCACAGCAGGGCTGCCCACATCGCACGCACCAGCTTCCTCGGGCACAAGGTGACAGCACCACCTCCAGGCCTGCTACACTACCAAATGGGTTTTATTTCTGTTCACTATTCATTTACTGGGCGTCCTAGGGGTATAATTTTTAAAAATCAAAGGACACACAGATGACCATACAAATGCCAGCGCAGCTTTGGAAGATGAAATGAAAAATGCACTGACCAGCTGTTCTGGGGTAGCAGGGGGAAAGGGTGTGCACATGACCCTGTGTTCACCCAGAAGGGCAGGGACAGAGGGGCGGTGAGAAAAGAGCAGGCTTGTGACCAGGACTACTCCTTTGCCTGCTTGGGGCAAAAAAAATCACAATGAAGAACTGCCAAAGCTGTGTAGCCCGCGGTGGTTTCTCCACAATTTGGAACCCAGGGAACATCAAAGGCACAGTTTGCACCACTGTAATTTCACACACTTCAAGAAACACAAACTCTCTGTGAAATTAAAAATCTGAAGAGAAATACGATTTATACTGATTACTATATGAGGTTGGCAACACCTAACTGTGTAACCGTTCTGTGTTTTAAACTGGCCCGTCGTTGAACAGGCTCTGAAGCTGCCACAGGGGAGCTCTGGGGAAGCCTGCACATAGCTGCTCTGCTACGAGACACACAATCGTGGCAATATTTCCAGTACTTCCTCTCCTGGCCAACATGGCCCCTTAACTCTTCTGGAAGAACGGAATCGGACTTTAGAAAACCTTTCTCTCTTCAGTATTAGAGTTCTTTCAGATAAATAAGACAGTTAAACATATTAGACAGAAATGGTTTTTATAAGAGCAAAACATTAGAAGCAAACTAAATATCCCACAATAGGTTAAGAATATCAACATGAAATATTCAATATCCATTAAAATTATAGAGAAGCTATATTACATGAAAAATGCTTGAAATCGGATGCTAAGTTTTTAAAAAACACAAAATTAGACACACCCTATAATATCACGTAAAACCTTAAAGCAAACCAGAGTCAGAGGAATGACGTTAGACAAAAAAAAAAAAAAAACAACAACACTTACAATCCCACAGTTCTACTTACAAAACTTTATGTACCATTGCTAAATCACTTTTAGAATGCAGAAATCCACAGTTAAAAACTGCTGAAACGTGAACGTAACAGGTCAGTGCCAAGCACAATTAAAAGAGGAAGCAGTTTAAACATGTAGGACTCCCACTCGAGGTAACCTGCCCGCCTGCCAGCAGACACGCAATGTGGAGAAATTCAGGACACCGGGGAGGAAGGACCTGCCAGCCTCGCCCACCAGGCGGGGACAGCCCGAGGGACCGCAAGTTCTCACACGGCTGCTCACAGCTCAAGGTGTGGGGAGCCCGCCACACACCCCCGCCTCAACCTTCCCCTTGAAGGCTCACGGTTCCACGAGGCTCTCCAGTGCACCTTCTAACCGGCTCAGGATGTTCTCCTGCGAATTCCTTCCCCACAAATAACAAAACCGGAAGTGGCCAAAACGGCACCGAGGAAGGCTGTTCCGCCGGGGTGGGCGGCACGGGCTTTCCAGTGGCCGCTCGGCCAGACGAGGTGCCCCCGCACCCTAAGGGAAGCTGCCGGGGCCCTCAGCTCATCACCTGGCTTACTGGCTTACTTAGCTCCTAAGAGGAATCTCAGAGCCGAGCAATGAGAAAGGAAAGAGAGAGAATCACCTCTTTAAAATAACATCTCGGCCACCACCTCGGCTGAGGATCTGTCCATCTGCTCCTTGCTCAGCTCGAAGCACCTGCGGGCGAGATGCTGCTGCCGGGCATCCTCACTCACCATCAGCTCCCCGTAGAGGTAGATGCCCATGGCCTGTGGAAGGCACAGAGGCCAGAGAGCTGAAGAAAAGGCAATCATGTGTCCCCGCGCGCTTGAGTGCACAGTCTGTGCTTGTTCCGCACGGGCTTGCTGGTCTGGAAGTTACAACGACCCTAGAAAAGACAGACGGCTGAATAGCTGTACTTAAGGAACCTGCGGCTTTCGATCCCCTTCTCTTTCTTGTTCTTCTCGCTGCAACCCCCAAGGAATTCTTGGCTATCAGTTCCGTCGACAGACCCCGGTGGTTGAACTGACGACACTGCGAGCATTTCTCTAGTGATGGCTGACGAGGACAGGGAGGTTCCCATGGCGACTGAGCCCCGTGGAAACCCCCACAGCTGAAAGAAGCACCCCAGGCGCCGTGTGTATGTCACACAGACACAGGCCATCTTCCTAGGAAAGTTGTGTGCCTAGCACAGCCGGGGAACGAAGACCACCCCGTCACATGGCACCATGGGTGGGGAGAGCCATCGGGCCGCCCTGGAAGATGCCTGTTGCTCCAGCCCAGCCTGCCAGCTCCCTTCAACGGGCCCCACTACCGCGGCAAACACTGGCTCTTCTGTTTCGAGAACAATGACTCACATCTGCATTTTTCCTACAGTTTTAAAAACAGCCAGTTATGTTCTGGAAAACCAAAAGATCCACTTGGTTCCGCTTTCTCTCTTGTTCTAAGCTTAGTTATGCTACAGATTACGTTCTCCTGGAGCAAATTAAAAGAAGGATCTCAAATACAGAGCAAAAATGAAACCTCGGTGGTTAGGGGTTCAAAAATTCTTTCCTGAAAAAGCCGATGGTAATCCTTATTTGGCAAAGATCATGGTTCCAAATATACTGCGGTTAATTTTGGTTTTCAGAACAGGCCTTAAGCTGCTCTTACATTTTGTCCTTATACTCCCCTCAGTGTTTCCAAACACCTCTTGCTTCACTGTGCAAATGTGACATTTCTTCTGGTACAAAGTCGTGTATTTTTCTTTGCGGGAATAACGAGCCCTCACTTGCTGGCTGCCCCCTGTACTCAAAAGGCCTTCTCAAAAGTCCCTTTGTTGCCCCTACCCCAACTCTCCACCCCAACCGAAACATGGCTCCATTCTGTCAGCCCACAGCGCCCGGCAGAGAGCTCACTCAGAGGCATGCACTGGTCACGCCAAGAGGAACGAGCTGCAGCCAACTTCCCACAGCCGACAGAAGCCACGGCACATGCACCACCATGGACAGCCACGCTGGGGAACACGGTGTGGCGGGGTGCTGACCCCCATAGGCTGCGGCCCAGCAGAGGCGGCGAGGAAAACATCTTCCAACGGGTTCGTGCACGCACGTGCTTCCTGTGGGCTCCTTGCAAGGTGATCGCTTTCCCTGGTGAACAGTGAGGAAAGTTCTCACGGGAAGGAATCTCAGCACAGGGTTCCACTTGGTGTGGCAGGTGCAGATACAGACCAGACTGTCCCAGCCAGCTGGGGCTCTCCCAGTCTAATCTTCATACATACTTTAAGTGAGAGCCACTGAAGGCACAGGTACACACCACGGCATCACCAAGCCACAACGCTGACCTAATGAATCTGAGGTTCAAAGATGCAGAAAGCTCACGAGGTCTGCCCATGCTTCATTTGGTAATGGCAGTGGGCCACAGTTACGTCAAACCAAGGGAGCTTCTAAGGGACACGATTCAATGGGATACCAAGACAGAGGAAAAAAATCAGCTCAAAAGTTTGGTAGGTAAGCACCTAACAGCTCTAAAATTTAAAATCCTTGAGAACTGTTTAAATATTTGTTATTTAAATAGAGATGTCGACAACTTGGGTCCCTGTGTTACGTCTACTGCATAGTCAGGGGACAGCATGTGCAGGATCCCCATCTGCTGAAAACTGAAACTTACCTGATCCTCCTGAAGGAACCTCTCCACGTTTCTGTACGCTTTTGCGTATTTGTGCTTAACAACAAGTTCACACCATCGGTGGCGAACCTTAAGAAATGAGAAGATCCAGTAAGCAAAACACTGGTAGGTTTCCTTGGCCTAACAAGTTCAATAATGATGGAGAGCCTTTCCTGTTAGAAAAAGGTACTCTCTGAAGTGTATTAACGTTGTTGACGCTTTTAAATTTCATTTTAACTTCATTTCTTTTACAAAGGAAGGAACCATGAGGTTCCTTCATGAGGGGGGCTGCCAGTCAACTTTAGGGGAAGACGGTGCATGTTTCACTTAGGTATTTTGATGTTTTTAAAGACAATTTTGCAAGATAATAGATAAATGCAAAAGGTAACTGGGAAATTAAACACACATCCCCAGGCAGCCAGGCTGGTGCTCTGCCCTGCAGGATGCTGTCAACGAAGGTTTCCTTTATAAACCACAACTACTTAATTTCCTGCAATAACCGATTTGGTTGAGTGCTGGTGATTGCAACAATAAACACAGTAAAAGGAGGAAGACACTGCTCTCCACATTCCTGAGAGGCAAAGCACACCCTCTGAGGAGTTCAGGGTGCCTGCCGGAGGGGAAGGAAGGGGAGCAGCCCACCTTGACGCAGACAGATCCTGCCACATGCCCACGAGTGTGTGCTGCAGGTCTGCACGACCTACTGAAAACAGACAAGCTAAATGTGGGTGCCCTTTAGTAAAAATACGTGACAAAAGGTTTACAAGCAGGAATTTGCCAGGAAACCCTCCCCCAAACTATACAGACAATAGGGGAGCTGGATCCAGCACTGGCTGCGTCTGCGGTTAAGAGGCAGTCTCGCACCACCTCCCATCTCTAGGCACTTCAGACACATTCTTTACGTGGAGATTCTACCTACATTTGGTTTAAGACTTCAGTCCTGGGCCGTTTTCTACTGCATTAAAGCGCTCGCAATCCGGTGAGCAGTCCACCATTTTATATTCCATTATTGGTTCAACACTAGCCATACATGGAAGTGATTATGTGCATTTAAAAAATAAAAAAGCCTCCTTCCATCACTCTTTGTTTTTACTGCCTTTGAAAGAGGGAGACCCTTTATAGTAATCCATTTGTGGCAATAGTAAAATGTAAGCAATTTCAACATTTTGGCTGGGGCCCCTGTAAATTATATCATTACCCACTGACGGCCGGATCTCTTCTTTAATCCACCATAAATAGATTTACACACAAACAATTAGGAATGAAGTAAAGAAAAAATCTTCTGGAAAGAATCCTTCCCCTAAGCTACAGTGCACTCTGAGACACGAGGGGGTTCTGGTGGTGGGCCTTTGCTTACAGGCAGCCAGGCCCTTTGAACTTCTAAGAAAAGGATGCCAACAAACTTTTTACATTCATGAAGGAATTTCAGAGGCACAGGAAAATGAGCTAATAGCCTTGGATCATCACAGCAAAAGGGAAGCAGGTTGGGCTGGACAGGTCTTGGAAATCTTTCTACCTTCAACAAAATGTTCTCTTTCCTATATAGCCAATAGAAATTAACACCATAAAAGGGAAAGGGTAGCCCTTAAAATATCTGGAGCAGAAGAACAACTGAACAGAGCTCAGATACTGCACCAAACAGAACAACCAAATCCCCGCTCTCATGCTTTGGTTTGAGTACCAAAGGCCGAGCACTGGACAGAACCCACCAGTCCCATCCATGCACCAGTGGATGCGCTGCGTCTTTCTGCTTGTGAGCTCCGTGAGGACCCGGGCAGGTCAGTGTGGCCCGGTGGGATGTCCGCCATGCGGCACGAGAGTCAGGGGACTGGGGCCACCTGCTCTCACTTCTCACCACTGCACAGGGGGACAGCTGTACCAGCTTTTAGGAGAGACAAGTATAAGAGAACTCTTGTCAGCCTGACAGTGATCTAATGACTTAGATTTTGCAACCTGATCACACCAAGCCTTTGAAAAGGACAGTTGTTTATCGCTCCAAAACTTGGGGACACTATATTTTTTTAGACCTGATTTTGAGAATGGAGGTATTATTGGCCTCCCATTATTTTTCTCCCTGTGCTCTCCTTCATCTTATTTACACATACAGAAATAACAAAGCATAAATTAGGGTTTGTTTCCTAGTAGGATAAGGTCCACAGAGGGGCAAAAGGCAGGGTCGGTCCCACTACAACGACTGCAAGAAGATCCAGGAGCTGAGCTGAGTGAAAGAGGCTCTTTCACAACCAATATGAAGTCAGCATTTCCACTTCTCTTACTGTTAAAAATAGTTAGTTGTCACAATTAGTAAGAGATCTAGTTTTCTGACCCCTGAAGGCTAACATGGCATCCAGGAAATACAGACCAACCCCTCTCTCCATCTCCCAAAGAGCAGAAAAAACAACAAGCCTTTTCATTACAAAAGAATTAAACATAATTCAAAATTTCAATGACAGGATGTTTAAAAGACATCACAGAGATGCTGTGTGAGGCTGAGGGCCCAACAGATATCTCTTGCTTGTGCCCAGGGTTTTTACTTCTCTTTGCATTTCTTTGAGAAACAAAGAAAATTTTTATCTTTTACCCTCTAAACTGTCCAGGACCCACAATTCGCAAGGCCACTTGTCACACCTGGAATGGGGCTCTTCCCGAAAAGCTGGCAGCAAAATGACATTTGTCACAATTTCTCCCAGCAATATTTCCATGGTGGGCACTGATGGAATACCTCCTTTCTCCAGATCACTGAGAAACTTTAAAAAAAAAAAAAAAATTCCTGACAGAGGTCACCACACTTGTTATCTGGCTCCTTCCTCTGTTAATAATGGAGGAAAGTGAAGCTCCCGGTGCTGGGGAGCATCAGAGAATTCAGAAGCAGAGGCAGGTCTCTAAGAAGAAAGCTGTCTGTTCTGTAGATCTGCTCTTCTTTATTTTCTTATTAAGTAATTAGTTAACGGTGGTAGTGGTCACCTTGTCTTTTAACTTCCTCAGTGAGGTGAAAAGTAAACAAACCCCACCACATAAATACATCTGTGGGAACACCTGGGCCCAGCAGGCCTTCCACAAGCGTCTATGTCCTCTTGACTCCGTTCATATAGCGTCAGCGTTTCACGGGTGTATACATTACGCTAAAACCAATCAATACTTACACTTTGAATAGTCACATTATTCTGCAATGTCTCAAGAGAGAGAAAAAAATTTAATGACTTTTTCAACGGTAACTCAGATTCATAAAGTCATTCGAAACTCATGTTAGGAATCACCTGAAAGCCTCGAGCCAGCAAACCTCAGCCCTGAATTCCAGCAATGCGGTCACGCCACAGACAGGTAAGGGGCAAGGGCGAGGGAAGAGGGAGTGGGCAGAAAAAGAATAAGAAATCTCGAGAAAATCAGAAAAGGGACATTTCAGGAGTGGGAAGAGGCGGAGCTGCCCGTGGTGGCGAACAGCAGGGTCGGAGGACCTGGAGCACAGCACCCTCGTTCCAGCCGCCCCAGAGCGTGTGGTGTCGCGGGGCACTGGAAGCCTTGCCTCTGGAGCACGTGCCCATCTTTTCCTCACTGAGTCTTCAGTGCAGACAGCAGCTGGTCTGGCCCACCTCCTGCCAGGACAGGAGCACATCCACCACCCACACCACGCTGAAGGTTCCATAACACAAGCAAAGCATTTAGCAGTCCCTGGCACAGGAATGAGGGGGGGATGATGATGAAGAAAGGGAACGTGGGTCCCTGACTCTTGCCACAATGAAGATGTGCACACACAGGTGTGCACCCATTATACTCTGGTCCAACAAAAATTAGCTGGACTAATTCGAACACTTTTCAAAGTGTTCTGCTTAAGGGACATTGAACAGAAAAATGATATGGGTGGTTCCCTCAGTGCACAGGTAGGTTTTAAATTAGCAGTGCTAATTTACACCTTTGGAAATGAATTCCAGAAGTTTCCAGGTTTCCAAAGCCTCCATGAACAGAGGGTGAGGAGCACACGGATATCAATGCTCTCCCAGGAGTGCCCACTAATGCAATGGTTCTTTGGAGCTGGGTGCACATGGGAGGGTCTCAGAATTGGGGGCAGGAAGAAGGAAGGGTAACCTGCAGAAGCCCATTCATGTCAGACCCACGTTTGGTGATAGGACATTAAAACCCTCCTATAATTCATGCAACTGTAACTGCTCCAGGATGGGGGACCCCCGACCCACAGCAGGGACTCCACCGGGAGGATGGAGTGTATCGGTGGTAACAGGCCGGAGCCACCTGGGAGACCTGAGCAGACATGTGTCCTGGGTACACAAAACATATTTTGCACATGATATGTATACATGTGTATGTGTATGTGCGCACGCGCGCACACGCACACACACACACACATCGAAACAAAAGTTTCTTTTTAAATACTTTCCCTCACTATATGCAACTGCTGATAGTTACTGTTCTTCTTTCTTTATGCTGGCTGGCAACCTACTAAACTGATTTCATGACCCACTGGGTCCTGATCCAGAGCCGTCTCCCCAGGGCGGGGGCTAGAAGAGCCTCTGCCCCTGGGCTGCTGTGGGAACTGCCCCAGGTCCCTGCAGCAAGCGTTAGGATTGTGACTCCCACACAGTAAGTGCTTGTCTTCTTAGCAGGTGTAGCATGTTTCCGGCTTTCATTTCCACTTCAAATGTTCTGTTTCTTGAATTTATAAAAACTTGATAGTATCAACTCCAAGGAAAAGTTTGTTAACTGGTGAAAAGCGAAGGAGCAAGGTGCCTGTCAGGTGGGTGCTGAGAAGGGAAGGCACTGGCAGGGAGTGGGAAGTGGGAGGGAGAGGATGGGACCACACAGCCGAGGAAGAGCCGGCCTGCCCTGCGCCTACAGCCTCAGGACTCTGAGACACCAGCGCCAGCGGGAACCGCAGAGGAAGCAGGGCCTCCTTCAGGGAGGGGCCTCCTCGAGGCCTGGGCGAGCTGGTACTTACCATCCACCCTCGGGGAAGTATACCCAGGGGCCAGGCGCCTGGGAATTTTCCAAACCCGTCTGTAAAGACAGCCTTGCCCCAGCATCAGCTCCAGGCACATGGCACTTCTACCGTTTCAAGAACGTTATCACTACCCAAGAGG